ATGATGATCTTCCAAGTTGAAACACTGATTGGTCATCTTTTTTCCTCTGCCTATACTACCTAAATTGTAACTTTGAGTATCTTTAATAATTTTTGAGTAAAAACCATAGGAGAAAAATATTATTATATAGTAAAATTCCCTTCTGTGAATCAACCACTCTATAAACTGATCACCATCTATCTGTAATACGTCTGCTGATAGAAGAGAAGAAAGGCCAGGGCATTCAGTTTCTGAGACAGCTTATCTGCCTCGAGGGTCCAGTCCTCCACTTTCCTGTATCCATACAGCAAGATGCTGGGTGAAAAGATCCAGTCTCTTTTGTTATGAGACCTGATGAAAGCACAAAGATTCTACTTCTTCTCTGTCGCACACCTGCCATCATCATGGCAGCATGCCTTGGCTTTCCCACCAGATGGGAGAGCCCAGCCCGTCTCATGGGAACTGCCATACTCATGAGGAATAGCACACCATTGCTGCTGTAAGACACTACATTCATTACTCAGCAAGACCTGCTATTGTGGCCTAATTCTTATATTTTAGAAAATAGGATAGTATAGGAAAATGTGAATATTTGGAAATAACAGACTTAAGGGTATAAAATAAGCCAAAGAACAAAGAAAGCTCAAGACAATATGGATGTACTCATGTAGTCTACTGATAGTCCTGGCAGATTAATTTTTTTAAAGATACTATATCATTCATATGCATATGTATATGACACTAGTATGACAGTATGTATAAACGTATAACCAATGTGATTCTGCAATTTGTACATGTGGTAAAAATAAGAATTCATACCCCATTTGAATCAAATGTATGATGTATGATATGTCAAGATCAATGTAATGTTTTGAGCAACCAATAAAAAGATAATAAAATTATAGAGTATATAAATGTATATGTGTAAATAGCAATATATTCATAAATAGATATATAAATGTAATTTATCAATGCACATTTATAAATATATATGAACATGCATTTATAAATCTTGTTTAGAAAATTCAGGCAAAAATGCTGCTAAGAGGAAATGAGTTAAAATTTTTTTGAAAGATTCATAGTGAGGAAAAAATGAAACTCAAAAAGGTAGTGTCAAGGGGCTGGGGTTGTGGCTCAGCCGTAGAGTGCTTGCCTAGCACATGCAGGGTGCTGGGTTCGAGCCTTAGCATCACGTAAAAATTAATTAATTAATTAATTAAAGGTTTAAAAAAAAGGTAGTACCAAGATGGCTAACATTTATAAGAATAACTTTGCAAGATCTACCAAATAGATTATTTAAATTCAAAAATGACAGGTTAGAAAAAAAATCAGTAGCATACTGGGTTTCAAGATTGTGAAGTTAAACTGGGCACAGTGGTGCATGCCTGTAATCCCAGCAGTTTGGGAGGCTGAGGGAGGAGGATCACAAGTTTGCGGCCAGCCTCAGCAAGTTAGTGAGACTCTAAGCATTTATCCAGACCCTATCTCAAAATAAAAAAAAATAGAAACAGCTGGGGATGTAGCTGAGTGGTAAAACACCCCTGGGTTCAATCTCAAATACCAGAAAAAAACAAAACAAACCAAAAAACATTAAGAAGTAAAAAAAAAAAAAAAAAAAGATGTGAAATCAGATTCCAGGTATTATAGAACCTCCTCATATTTATTGAAAAGAAAATGCTGACACAAAGTCACATAAAAGTAGCAATGTGGGTTAAAAGAGTAGGGAAGGAAGACTCAAATTGAGGATAGGGTGATTGATGTTGGATCGGCACTTCCTTCCAAACATTCACCTCACTCCTTTTCATGAATATTCAATTTTCCTTTATTCTTGTATTTGTTTATATATTTACACAAGTTGTGTCTACCTCATGCTTTCTTTTCACTTGTCTCATATAGGTCTTTTCTCCTTAACTGGCCATAACGTGAAGATGAAATTGAAATGAATATGTGTGTGTGTGTGTGTGTGTGTGTGTGTGTGTGTGTGTGTGTGAGAGAGAGAGAGAGAGAGAGAGAGAGAGAGAGAATATACATGGGCATGTCATTTTAGTATTCTATTTTGAAGCTTTTTTTTAGTACCCATTATTAAAAAGTAACTGGGGAGGAAATTAGTTTATTACTTTTCTTGTATGAGGCTCTCAGATTGTTTTGCTTTTCTTAAATTAACTTGGTATTTTACCTTTAAATATAGATCTATTTATCAAAAAGCAATTTATATATTATAAACACTATGTGATTGATAATTTTATCATTTTTAACTGTTTTAGGCGTTTGGTCTTAATGGTGACAATGACTCCAAAAGAATTTCTCTTTTAAAGTGGCATCATCCTAATGACTGTTTTCAAAAGAGAGAAGAAAAAAAATCAAAACAAGACTGGGTAACAGAAACGTCACTACATGAGTATGGAACAGTGTAATGCTTCATAATTGTTCTGTTGGCTCAAGTAGAAGCATGTATAAAGAATTCTAAATTATTCCTGTCCTAATTAACAACTAGACATAAGGCCTTTTTTGGATACTATCTAAGCCCATTACTGACACTATCTAAGCCCATTCTTCTGTCCTAACCCTCACTTCCAGAATCTTTACTAATCCTCCAGTTCCTTGCTAGACTACTTCACATAGTGGAAAACTACCACACCCAAAGGGATCTTAAAATAAACAAATGTGAACTATAAAATATGATATATTCAATACAGGAAATAAGAAAAATATACCTACCAAGGTCTCTTATGGCAGCTGCAGTCAGCATGGGGTCTGAACTCATAAGAATAACTGCAAATAGGAGCCATGGGATGGTCTTCAAAAGTAATTTATTCACAGATTGCAGATACCAAAGAATTAAAACATAATTAATCACAAAGCCAGGAATTGTGATTAAAAGTATCTGCAAAGAAAGTTCAGAGTAGAAAAATCAGATTGGTTTTATAAAGCAGATGATCACAATTTGTTTTTAGAAACATAGAACCAGATAACACTAACAGCACCTACCAAGAGATGCATGAATGGGAAGACCCTCAATTGGCCCTGTTCCAGCTAACCCCTGCCTGAAAACCCCACCTCATCCCACAAGACCAAAAATACAGGAAATGGCTTAGTGGAGATCATCTGAGTCAACCCAACCCAAATCATATCTCTGTTCTTTTCAGTTTCATTTTTTGTCATTTGTCTGAATTTAATGTACCTGGATTTGGATTAAAATGTAAATTGTTCTGATAGTTTTGTTTTAGGTAATGCCTTCTATTTACAAAACTGTTTTGATTACTTTGAAAGAAATATACATCCTGCTCCTGATCTGAAGTAGTTTATCACAAGGTCTTTCCCTGATACAGTCCAAATTTCCCAAGATTTAAAAAAAAAAAATTAAATAGGGTTACATCTGCTTCCATGCATTTTCTTATCTGCTTTTATTCTTTTGAAATGTGGATATAGGAAGCTTTAGACTGTAAGAACTAAAATTTGATTTTTCTTAACAGTTTGTTTTTTTTCCCTAGAGCTAATATATTTCATAATAGCTCTCTTGTAGCTTCTCAGAATAAAAATTTTAATTGAAGTTCTGCCAGTCAGATTTTCA